CCCTGGATGACTATCGGGGACAGTTTCCAGAGCTGCAGCCCCTGGAACGGGAACTCAAACATCTGGAGGAGATCCTGCTGGTGAGGAGGCCCAGAGGGAGTCAGCAGCAGGGAACAGTGACAAAAGCCATGGCACTGCCCAGGGCACGAGGGTGGTGGAGCCATCCCTGATGGCACCGCTCAGCTGTGAGAGTGGTTGGGGCATCCCTGATGGCAGTGACCAGTGACAACAGTGGTGGGGTCATCCCTTGTGGCAGTGATGAGGGTGCTGGGGCCATCCCTGATGGCACTGTTGAAGGGACAAGGTTGGTGGGACCATGCCGGGTGGCAGTGAGCAGGGATGAGGCTGGTGGGGTCATCTGGATGGTACTGCCCAGAGTACAAGGGTGGTGGGCCCATCCATGTTGGCACCATTCAGTGACAACAGTTGTATGGGAACTGTTGAGTTCCTGAACCACTCATGGAGCACCTGAGGAAGGGACCCGGTCAGTCCTGGGAGCACAGGTGAAGGCAGTTCAGCTGTGTGATAGGAAGGGGTGGAGTTTGGCTGCACCCCTCTTAGACCTCATTTAAGGGCTGGCTGCCTCTGGGGAAGGATCTCTGGTTGGAGATCTCTTCTTGGTGAAGCTTTCCCTTGTGAACCTGGGATCTTCTGGTATGGGTAAGCAATCTTCTTCCCTTCCTTTATAGCATCTTTCTGTCATGCTGATCCTTTGTTACTACACCTCTGGTGAAGCACCTTTTTCAATCATATTGATCTGTCCAATTGTTACAACAGTGCTGGGGACATCCCTCATGACAATGACTGTAGTGGTGGGGCCATCCTTGACCTTGACTCAGGGATGAGGGTAGTGAGGCCCCTTAGAGTGGCTTGCTAAGATCTGACCATTCTTTCCTTTGCAGCACAAGCAGGGTGTGTTTCTCAGCCGTGCCTCCAGCATCAGCCTCACGGTGGAGCACGCTCTGGAGAGCTTCAGCTTCCTCAACACCTCTGACATGGAGGACTCGGAGGGCTCAGAGGAAGAGGCTCTGCAGGATGAGAGGTGTGCGGAGCAGTGTCTCATGGAAGAGGCACAGAGCAGCAGGGGTTGGGGTGCTGAGCTCTAGTGGGGAAGGAAGGGCTGGATTCAGGTGCCCTGTGCTGATCCGGCTCAGTCTCTCGCTGGTTTGCAGGAGGGCCAGCAGAGCGCGGCGTGGAAGCAGGGCTCCCAGTGCTGGTGAGGTGGGAGCAGATGATACTGGAACGTGCAGTGGCTCCGAGGGCAGCGCAGACCCCATGAGCACCAGCAATGAGTTCCTGGATAAGGCCCTGGTGCTCCACCTCCACAACTGCAACCGCCTGCTGCTGGTGAGACTGGGGACTGGGGCGTGATGGTGGGACACATGGTGGGGTTGGCCATGGCTCCTCGCAGTAAGCCCCTCTGAGATGCCTTGCTGTGCTGGGGTCTGGGCGCCATGCTGTTCTTAAGGTCACTGGCATACCTGTGCCTTACAGAACCTGGGCACCTTTGGGCCTCTGAGGTGCCGGGAGATGTTTGCCCTGGACAGGCTGCTGCGGGAGGCACAGGTGCTGGAGATCGTGTGCCAACTGATGGAGGAGCGGTTGGAAGCAGCGGGCTCTGCTGCCGGAGGTAAGGGCAGCAAGGGGCTGCGCAGGAGTGATCTGCCAGCTGGATGTGTGGCTTGACACCGCCTGTCCCTGCAGTGGTGCAGTTCTCAACGCGGAAAGAAGGGGTGCTGCCCCTGTGGGACCACTGCGTGGAGCTGCCCAACATCTACACCTGCCCCGTGGAGCGGTTCCTGCAGGTGCTCAGTGCACAGTACGCAGCACCCATCAGCGAGCGGCACCCGGGACTGGCTGATGCGGGTGAGCCTGTGGGTGTGCAGGAAGAGAATCTCCAACCCTACGAGGTACTGCACACCCTGACCTTGTTATTTTCCCGCAGTATGTGTGAAGCTGGTGGAAGATGTGCTGAACCGGCGGCTGCCACGACGACCCGGTGGCACCCAGGGTGAGCAGGTCACCATCTTCCAGTATTGGAGCCACTTTGAGTCCCTCGGCGCCCTGGTGCTCGACACCTACGTGATGGAGCTGGCAGAGGAAGGTGGGTGCCCCTCTGCCAGGCTCTGAGCTGGAGGCAGTAGGGTGTACAGCACTATGGGGTATCACCCAAAGGCTCACTCACCCTGACCATTGCTGGTGCTCAGCCCCCTCCTACGCTCCCATCCTGGGCACCCTTTGGACCTCACTTTCTGCAGGTCCCCAACTCGGGTGCCCCCAGCATCCTATGTGGGGTCCCTCTGCCTGCTGTGGGTGGAGGCCGAGCTCCCCACGGATGCTCGGCTCACCGGGCTGTCCCCACAGTGCTGCTGGCACAGAACCTCAACTCAGACGACCAGGACGTGGTGCTGCGGGCACTGAAGCGTGTGCCTGAGGGCCGCCTGAAGAAGGAAGGGCTGAAGGCGCTCAGCTTGCTGCTCGTGGAAGGAAACAGCAAGGTGGTGAGCGCCGTGTCGGCGCAGCTCCGCAGCCTGGCGGAAAACCCCCGCTTCCGCCAGCGGGTATGCCATGGGCAGGAGGGGAGCGCATGGGCTCTGGGCTGCTGCTTGGAGCGGTGGCACTGAGCCCTCGCTCTGCCCCAGGCCCTCGTGTGCTTCCTGGGACAGCTGGAGGATGAGGAGGTGCAGACACGCGTGGCTGGCTGCGTGGCGCTGGGCTGCCTCAAGGTGAGATGGGTGCACAAAGAAGCCCATGTGGTATTTGCTTCCAGGCTGAGCTGGCTGTGGGGTGGATGGAGAAGAACTGATGCTGCCTGCTACTGTTTCTGCGCGGCCTCCAGCTCCTAGGGGTGCCCCAAATGTGCTGGGGTACAGTAGAATTTCTACATCAGTAGAAAGGAAAAGGGGACACAGCTAAGGGACTTTTTGGGGTTCTAACTGGATGATCTTGAAGGTCCCTTCCAACCCAAGCCATTCTATGATTCTGTGACTTTTTCTGCCCGGGGCTGGTCTGGAGGTTGAGCTGTAATAGGGGTCTGCCCTGCCTGCTACCTGCCATTGCAGGAACCTTGCTGCTTTCCCTTGTGGGTCACATCCATGTGGCTGACGCCAACCACGCTCAGCCCTCTCCCCTCTCCTACAGGCCAAGGAGAGCATTGAGCAGCTGGTCTACCTGTGCCAAACAGACAAGGAGCCTGTGCGGGAGGCAGCCAAGCAGAGCCTGATGCTGTGTGGTGAGTGTCCTGCATCACCCCTGCTCACAGCTGCCAGAGGGGCATCACCCCATGTCACACCACCCAAGGGAGAAAAGGACCTGGGCTGATCCCTGCCTGCCGTGTGCTCTGGCTCATGGTGCCCAAACTCTGTGGGGTGAGAGCAGTGGTGGGCAGCAAGGATTCCTGCGGGCACAGCCCTAAGCGTGGGTGTTATTTATTATTTGCTAGATGGCACTGAGAGAACCATCTGAGTGGGTTTCTAGGCCTCCAGATCGTGGCAGCTGCTGCACAGGTTGGGACATGTGAGCTGTCCTTGTCCCTCAGCCCCCACTCCTGCTGCTTTGCTCACGAATGTCTCTGTCTTAGAGCCTGTCAGCCATGTCACTTCTTGGAGTCTGTGTGTCTTGGTTGTTCGTAGCCCCACAGCAATGCCTGTGCACATAGGTGCCACGTGTCCTGTGTCCCACGTCACCAGCCCGGCTGGGGACAGCTGCTGTGTGCAGATCTGTGTGCAGGGCTGCTGGGCAGAGATCTCTCAGCATGGAGCGTGCATCCCTGTGTGTATGCGGGGGTGTTGGGAAGCTCTCGGGGTCCCTGTGTGGGTGCATGCAGAAGTGCACAGCAGGTTGGGATGCTGCACCTGGCACAGCCCCGAGCCTGGCCCCCTTGCCCTAGCTCCTGGCCTGGGAACTCCGTGGGCTTCTAGAGATGGGATTTGTACAAGGGTGTGCTAAGGAGAATGTAAGAATCATAGAACCATTAAGGTTAGGAAAAAAACTCTCAGATCCCCACGTCCCACCCTGTCCACTGACCGTACCTCCCAGCGCCACACCTCCATGGTTCTTGAACTCCTCTGGGCACTCCCACACCTCCCCAGGTAGCTGTGCCAACACATTACCAGGAGCTCTGTGGCTGTACCACGCTGGTTCAGCTCTGTCAGGCATCAGCATCGTTTTTGTCACAAGACAAAAATGGGAAGCTGGCTAGGGATGGGATGGAACAAAACTTCTGCCTTTTGCTTCACTGACCGTGGCCCGTGCTTGCAGGGGAAGATGGCAAGTCAGCGCACCGGCGACTGGAGGAGACCCTGGACAGCCTCCCACGGATCTTCGCCCCAGCCAGCATGGCCAGCACGGCTTTCTGAGATGCCACGCAGAGCCACCCGCCATCCCTCGAGGACAAGGGCACTGCTGGGCTGCGCTTGGGCTCGCAAAGGCTGGGCCCAGCCGACGGCCCTGCCCACAGCAGCACTTGGGCACCACCCCCGCCGGCAGCTCGCCGCGGCCGCGCACACTGCCTTACGGAGCACCGCTTCCCCTGCCCCGAACACCAGCCGTGCGGGGGGCCACGCACGCACCCCTGGGCGAGGAGGGGCTCGCTGCACACCCCACCCTTCGACTGCTATTGAAAACACACAGGGAACCCACCCTTCGTGCTACAGCTGCTGATCGGAGCGGCACGGAGACGCACCGGATTCCTCTCTGCCTCTTGCCTTCCCGTCGCTCGGGGCCGCGTGCCCTTTCCTGGGAGGACTCACACTTTGGAAGCGATGCTGTTTCTTTCCAGAAGTCGCCCGGGCTGGGAGGGAACCGCTGCCCTTTTTGCCGCCTGGAAGTCCACAGGACTTAAATAAAATGAGATATGAGATATATTAATATATTCTGCTGGCGTTTCTTCTTTCCAGCTCTGCATGCTCCTGTCCCTCCCCAGCGGTGGAACCCAGCCCAGAGCCCTTCCCCTCTGCTGGGGAGGGCAGGGCAGGAGGAGCGACAGAGGGACGGACAGATGGACGCTGCCACCTTTTCCTTTCGTTCCTGTTTGTTTTATTTTTTATTTACGATTTTTTTTTTCAGAAAAAAAAAAGCAACAAATTCTTTTCTATAATGTCTCTATAAATCTATATATAATGTAATTACAGAGAATGACTAATTTTGATTTTCAACCAGAAATAAAAGCAAACCTTTACTGAGCCGTGGTGTTGCTGTGTGGGTGTTTGGCCCCCGTGCCAAGGGGCAGGGAGCTATGGCCTGTGTGTGGCTCTCTGGACAAAGCTGAGTGTTTCTCAGGTGAGGATCAACCTTCTGGTTTTACCAGCAGTATAGCAGGTGTCTCTTTCAGCAAAGCAAGGAGTTTTCACTTTCTCTGAGCTATGTGAGAGTTAGCAAGATGCTGCAGAGCATGGGAAGCCTCACCAAGGTGCCACACCGCAGTGGGCAGAGCAGGGTCACAGCTGAGCTGTGCTCAGAACAGGGAAGCCCTGACCTGCCCCAGAGAAGGGAGGCAAGGGCTGCAAGTGAGAATGGTAGCACCACGTACGTCTCATTACAATGATAACAAGCCACAACAGCTCAAGGAATTACGGAGTAGAGTTGGGAAAGGAGCTCTGAACATGGCCTTCACACGGCCTTCCATTCCTCCCCACTCAACATGCTCGAGCAGGCTGCTCAGGACCACGTCGTGTCAGGTTTTGACTGTTTCTGAGGATGGAGATGGCAGAACGCTTCTGTGCTACGTGTTCCAGTGTTCAGCCACCCCTGCACAAAAAGCATTTCTTTAGTTTCAATGGAATTCCTGTATTCTGTTATCAGCATGGCTCTCGTTCTGTCACTGGGAAACACTGAGGAGAATCTGCCTGTCTTCTTTACCCACCACAAGTGTTGAGAGACATGGATAAGAACCGCTCCAAGCCTTCATTCTTCCAGGCTCTTTTTTATATGGCAGATGCTCCAATCTCTTAATCATCTTAGCAGCCATCACAGTTCTGATGGGGGAGCAGGTTAAAGCAGCAAAAGGCGCCAGCAGTGGCAAAGACCCCTGGGGTCAGCTCCAGCAGCATCACACCACGGTGCACAGGGTGTCCCACATGGGAAATGTGCTTACTGCAAGTGGTTGGCAAGCACCACGTCAGCAGCAAGGGCACCCAGGCATCTCTCATACTGGGGTGTGCTTTAGTACCATAAGCCTGCAAGGCCAGGAGGAGGCTCAGGGCAGCTTGGTCAGTTCTCTGCCACCCAGGTCTGTGCTGGGTATCTGGGACACGGTAGCATCAATTCCACCTACTTGGGGGCTGGACAAGCCTCAGGCCAAAAGCACAGTGTTTCTCCCAAAGCTCTGAATCGTGCTCTCAGCTGCAGGCAGCAGGAGTGAGAACAGGGGTCTTGGCTGGCACATGCTGCAGTTGGGTAATAGCCTGTGGACAGAAACACCCTGAAGGTATTAAGTAGCCCAGACTGTGTTCGGTGTCGTTTCTTTTTCCCCCAACTAACCCCTGGAAATACCAACGATTCAGTGCTCCAGCAGCCTATGTGTGTGTTCTCCTTGCTCTGCCAAAGCCTGGCCCCATCCCTGCAGCAGAATACCATCTTCCAGGATAAGCTGTACCTTGGCTGCAGAGATTGGAGCAGGAAAACAGCCTTCTGTCAGGGCAGGCAGGGTGCTGCACGTCGGTACAAAACGACTCTGATCCTGGAAGTCCCAGGAATAATCTCATTTGTGTGGCTTTAACATCATCTAGAAAAAAAAAAAATGTATATATATATATGAGTCAATTTAGGAACCTATTGCCTAGCCCCTTGTTCTGAATGAGTTTGCAACAGCATCACCAAGGATCCATTGGTGATGGGGAAGGGAGGACTGAACTTTTCCCTCCAGGACTTCACGTGTGCTCCAGCCCTTATGCAGGAATTGTGCAGCTCCATGGATCAGCTTGCTGGGTGCCACTCTTTGCACACACGGATGGATGCTGCACCACAGAGTGCACTGTGCAGCAGCATGTTTGCTGTTTCAAAGGAGACAGTGCTCCAGCACCACGTTTGTCAGCCCAATCTGTGTCAGCACTCCAAACATCTCTCCCTCTCACGGATGTGTGTGTGCTCAGCAGCACCAATGACTGTTGCAGCCACTTGCTTTTTTGTAGGAGCTGCAGTCCGTGGGAAGGTGTCTGTGTCATGGTTACATTACCCACGTGCTCTGGGAAGATTTTCCTTCACCCCACTTACTGCTGTTTTCCTTGTAAATAAAGGAGCACGCAGCCTTTTTGTACCAGCAAAAAAACAACCAGCCAACTCGTCCTCCCCTTGGAGAGCATCAGGGCAGGTGCAGCTGCTCAGCACATCAGATTCGGCGACCCCAAGAGCACCAAACAGAACAACCCCAAGCAGACACTGCCTCTTTGGGGCATCACGAGCTCTGATCATCCCTCCTGACTAAGAAATGACCGAAATTTTGATGTCCGGCCACATTTACGAGATCACAGGAGTTGGAGATTCTCTTGCTTGAGCAGGCTCAGATTTGGACCTCTCACCTTAGCCAAGGCTTGTATGAAACTGTGCTTCCAAAGCATTCACTACACACGTTTTAGGACACTCATAAAAGATTCAGAAGGCCAAGTTCTCTGCATTTGGCTGTAGCAAAACAACAGCATCCTCAGGGTCACTGACTGTTCAGTGCAGGACTGTTGTGTACACACACCACGGGCTTGTTCTTCAGGGACCACCTCTGAGGTGACAGCTAGGGCTTCACTTCATACAGAGATCAAAGCATGCTCCAGGCAGCGTCCAAAACTAAGTTTAACATTAATGTTTGCTCTCCTTCTTAAAGAAGAGGGTGATTCCTACCTCATACAGTCTGAAGGTGATCAGAGAACACAGTTAGAAACAGCAGGAAATGAGGGCTCAAAGCTGAGCCGGGAGCTCATCAAGGCAGCCAGGGGCTCCCTGGCTCTAGCTCCCACAATTTCTGCTCATGGGCAAGCGGCTCCAGGACAAATAACTTCAGATACCTCCGATAACTTCCAAGCAACATCTGCCTCTGGGTGTCTAATCTGGAGACGCTAGGAGGGTGATTTTCAGGAGGCTGAAAGTAGGGCAGTGGGATGTATTGCAAAGGCTTGAATCCTCTGCAGATCAGCTCAAAAGCACCTCTGATGGAGGGATCTGAGGCCAAGAAGTCAGCTGCACCCCCAGCACGCACTGGTAGATGGTTTCACGCATCTCTGCCAAGAAAAGGCCACGAGAAAGTGCCTGAGAATACTTTCTGCCTCCTCACACAAAAGGACGTGCAACATTTGCCACTGGACAGCTACCAAGAAAAGGCAGATGGAACATTAGAAGCCAGTTACTCCTGGCCTGGTGTGAGTATTTAAAGGAAAGTAAAACGTCATCTTACATACAGACAGTGCTCCTCTTCACGTTAAGCAATGCTGACCTAAGCTTTTGAGCTTAAAGCAGGATTTGTGGCCACACATGAAACATACGTTACTCTCCTCAAAGTAAGAAGCGATGGTTTGATGGCTTATAATAAAAAAACTGTAATCAAATTCACACCACATAACTAATTAAGATCCCCAGATGTTACAGCAGGGAGCTGCACCCTCTCAACTCCTGTAACTGTCAATCTGTGACATCACTTTGTCACTAGCTTTTTCCTCCTATGGATGAGGTTAAGGAATCAGAGCCACATCCCAGCCACAGCACACCCTCTGCAGCTGCCTGCCATGCTGTTTCCCCTGCTGGAATGAAGCAATGGACTCGGGCTGGTGCCATCACCCTCCAAAATGAACCAACAGCCCTTAAAGTACCACTGGTGCCACAGCCCTCCCACCAACATAAAGGTTGGGAGGGCAGAAGGTGAAATAAGCCCTGAAAGCAGAGGCACAGAGCTCACCTCCTCCATAGCATCCTGGCAAGCTCTTCCCATCCCTACGACAGCTCCACAGCATGACTGACGTTCAGGCTGAGATTTAAGGGCACCATTTACACACGTTAATGTATGCTGCGCCTGTCTGATAGTTTTGTCACTTGCCAAGCAGGTTGGGGTGTTTGGTTGGGCTGCCAAACAGCTTTTGCTCCTCTATGACACCTCACAAGGGAAAAATCTGAGCAGGAATTTATTATCAGCCTCAACTGCAGCAACCCCAGAACTGCCCAGCCTGGTGCTGTTTGGGTCTCTGCCTTTTCTCTGAGCTCCCTGACTGTAGGCCGTGTCAAAGTTGGAAGAAATAACTTCTTTCCGACGCACCTTAAACCATTCAAATTTTAACCCAGCTTCACTTTGCATGCTTCAATGGTAGGAAAATAAAAACGGGACACAGTGTGAGCTCAGAGGAAGCGCCCTCAGCTCGCCTCTGCCAGCGCTGAGGTAAATCTGGGCGCTGAGGTAAATCTCAGCACGTTCCACTCAAGCGCCAACTCGTCGTTACTTACAAAATCACCCGGAGGTTTCCCTCGAATTCAAGGCAGCCCTGTCAGCTCCTTACCCAACTCGCAACACCCATCGATCCCTCAAGCCCCCTCGGTACTATCTGCACCCTGGACTCGTGCCACGCCTTCCCCGTTCCTACAGCTGAGGCGGCTTCCCGCCCCAGGGCGGATGCGGAATGGACACAAAACTCGGGGCGCCGCTTACAGCGCCCCGCTCCCCTTAGGGCCGGGCGGGCCGGGGCGGGGCACAGCCTCCCCTCAGCGCGCCGCCGCCCCGCCCTCCCTACCACGTGACGCACGCACGCACACGAAGTGACGCCGCCGCCCCCCCCCGGCGTTTGTAGGTGGCGGGGCCCCCCCCCCCCCCCCCCCCCTTTCCCCCGCCCCGCCCCGCCCTCCCAGCACACCCCGCGCGCGGCCGCTTCCCCGCGCGCGCCGTCCCCTCCCCCCCTCCCCCTCCCCTCCCCGCTCCGGCCGGCGGTCCGCGGCAGCCGCGCTCGCGCAGGCGCACTCCGCCCCGCCCGCCGCCATTTTGTGTCCGAAGCGACTGTGGAGCGATTAAACCGCGAGCTGGTGCCGGGGCGCTAGCGGCGGCCGCGGCGGGGCGTGAGGGGAGCGGCGGCTCCGCGGGGCCGGGGGCGGCTGCGGGGCGGCGTGCGGCGGGGCCTCGGCGCCGGGAGCGAGCCCGGCGGGGCGCGGGCGCAGGTAAGCGGTGAGCGGGGGGTTTGCAGTCGCTTTCTCCGGCCTCTAGGTGTCACGATGGGGCTCCGCGCCGGCTGGGGCCCCGCAGCGGCCGCCGCCGGGGAAGCAGGGGGCTTTGTCTCCCTCTATCGTCCCCAGCGCGGCCCGCGCCTGCCCGCTGCCACCGCCGCCGTTCCCCACAGCGCGGCGCTGGGCCGCGGCCCGCCCGGCCCTCGCGGCCGCCTCCATTTTCCTCCCTTTGTCTCCCCGCCGCCCCGCCGGGGCCCGGCTGCCGCCCCCTCCCCGCCACGCGAACCGCCGCCCTCCCCCTCCCGCCCCCGCCTTTCTCCGTCCCTTTCCCTTCCTCCTCCCCTCCCTCCCCGCCCCGCCGCTCCGCGCCCGGCCCGCTCCCCCCTGTTCGGCCGTTATCCGTTCCCCCCCCCCCCCCCTTATTTATCATCTCCCACCTCCTTTCGGCTCTCTCCGTTCTCCCTCCTCCACCTCCTCGGGGTGGTTTCGGAATTCGGCGGAAGCGGTTCGGGCGTTTTTTTTTTTTCTCGGCCCGCTCCGTCCCGCAGCCCTGCCTGGCCGCCGCCTCGCTGCGCTGCCGCCGTGTGCGCTGCGGAGGGAGAGGCGCTGCGAGGCGCAGAGCGGGACTCGAGCTCCCTCTGCAAGGCAGGCTGAGCAGCGCCATGCAGCGCCGGCCCTGGCACGGCTGGGGGGCGCCCGCTCTCGCCGCGCTGCCCTCCCGCACCCCCCCCCCTTCCCCTCGATCTCAGGCCTCCATCCTGGGCTCAGCTCCGAGCTAGAAAACGCGCTGCTCCCCTCCTCCCATCCCCCCCCTCCTCCCGTGGGTATTGCTGCTTTTAATCATGCGGAAGGGGTGATCGCACACGGTTTTGTGCCCTGCATCAACTTGATCTCAACTGAGATGCTCAGAGCTGTAGGTTCTGTCAGTCACGCTGCTCTGCCTTTATCGGGTGGCTTCGACGCAGCGTTTTGTTCCTTGTACCCGTCCCCAGCACTCAGCGCTGCTGCTGAGAGCACACCCGCTTTCCTGTTGCTGACTTCCTATTTTTTACCCCGTCTCTTGCTCCCCCACCCAACACTCAGCCATGCCTCCAGTTGGTAACAAACCCCAGAGGTGTCGTTGAGCTGCTCTGTGTGTGCGGCTTTGAGATTTGTTTCAGTGCAGGAAGTGTGTGTTTTCTCAGGTCCCACAGTTTGCTCATGCTGAGCCTGTTGAACTGGTGGCTGTCTTTTGGGCATAAGGAGTGGCTCTGAGCTCCAGTTCCTACTTCAGCCCCATCTTACCTTCTGTGTTAGTGCAGAAGTCAAGACCGAAGAAGGTCTTGAGCATATGAACCAAGCAGTGCTTTCTTTTTTTCCATAGAATGATTGATTTTCTTCCTTCCATTTTGCTTTTCTGTTTGGACTGCATTTTGCAAATCCTTTGAGGGCTGCAGTCGTGTTTTGGGGAGCTCCTTTTGCATCCAAAAGTGGCTTTGGACAGGGGCTGTCACCCCAGTGGCAAGTATGGTAACACCTCCAAACTATCAAACTCCAAGCTGTAATGAGGGCGCAGTCTCTACGTGCCCTTGCTGTCCTAGGCAGGTGCAGTGGCATCAGCGCAGGTTGGATATTTGGGCAAAATTATTCTCAGAGCAGTGAGGCAGTGGCACAGCTGTCCACAGAATCACATAGAATCACAGAATGGCCCAGATTGGAAGGGACCTCAAAGATCATGAATCTCTACGTCTCCTACCGCATGCAGAGCCACCAACCTCCACGCTTAATGCTTCACCAGGCTGCCCAGGGCCCCATCCAACCCGGCCTTGAACACCTCCAGGGATGGACGGGGCATCCACAGCCTCTCTGGGCAGCTGTTCCAGCACCTCACCACTCTCATAGTACACAACTTCCTCCTGATATCCAACCTCAATCTTACCTCCCTGAACGTAAAACCATTTCCCCTGGGAGAGTCCCCGACCCTGAAGGTGTTCCAGAGCCATGGGAATATGGCACTAAGGGATGTGACATGATCAATGTGGGTGGATTGAGGTTGGACGTGGTGATCTTGGAGATTTTTTCCAACCTTAATGATTCTATGATTCTCATTCAGTATTAATATCTTCTGTATTTATAAGGAAGATGCCCAGAATGATTTCCTTAACGCTCGTGAAACTCCTTGCAGGATATTTTTGAGGCACGACGTCAGAGTTAAAAGGTGCAGGATTGCTGTACTCCCCAGTGGCCCTGCAGCTGAACTAACACGGCTCAGGGAGTTCGCTGAGCTGTCACTAGAGTGCTGAGCCTGCTGCAGCTCCTGCCCACGCCGTCAGCAAGGGAAAGAGCTAATCCAGGCACTGCTCCTGGTGCTGGCAGGCTGTGTCTTGGCTGTGAACTGCTGTGTGTGTTGCTACCAGGCTTTGTGGCTGCAGGTCAGTAGCTGCCTGATACTTCTGTCTAAAAAGGGCCAGATGCTGACCTGTGTTGTTTTGGGGCTTATTTAATATTTATCTAATTAATTTGTATACAATTAGTCACTTAAGGATTCCTTCTCTTGCCCGTAGTGCTTAATATCCTGCTTTTCTGCTAATGTTTTTGGCAGGGGGATGTGGAGCATTGCTGGGCTGATTGCTCTCTGAGAAGAGCCAGCGTGTTCCTTGGCCTTGTGCTCTGTACCTGGGCAGATTCATCCCTGCTCATGGCAGCGAGCTGTGGTCAGCTCTTCCTGCTCCATCCTGCCACTTTTTGGTATGTTGGTTATTTCTGAGGAAAAAGCCAAATGCACTCAAAGCCATACCCTGTAATTTAGGCAGGGAGAGAACAAGGCCAAAGTTACTGTTACTGTGCAAATGAACGTGGGGCATCACAAGTACTGGAGATGTCAGCCCTGTCCCACTGTACGGAGGAAGGAGAAGCAAATAGCAAATTCCTTCCATGCTGCCGTTTTCTCCTGTCTGTGACTGCAAGGGGAGCTGTTTCCTGTAGCCAAGAGCCCACCAGCAAGCCATGCAGTGAGGTTCAGGGCTGCTTTCTCCTGCCCTTTGATTGTATTCCTAAAAGCTTTGCGCAGTAACTGATTCTACCTTCTGGCTACTTTGTTTCTCTTACCTAGTAAGATTCAGCAGTAATTCACCAGTAAGTAATTCAGCAGAGACTGAATGCATTGAGAGCAGAGCGTTGGGATCGCTGTGTGCTCCATAAACCCTTACCCATGAGGAGCAGCCACGACTGCTACTTGTGCGCATGGTGTCTCAGCCGCTGAGCTTCTGCTTCTGCTGTGGAGCTGGAAGAAAGCAGAGCTTGGGCTTGGAGCCTGTTGTGGTTGTGTTAATGTACTGAGCTGTGCTCACCTGCAAGCCCTGTTGGTTGCTTTGGCAGGTTTGGATGCCTTGCACAGCCTGTTGGACCAACCCTTGGCACTTCAGTACAGCTTGCACCTCCACCGCTCTGCAGTGCTACATGACTTCTGAGCACAGATTTGTGAATTTCCCTTTGTTTATTGCTCAAAATTATATTTACTGCTCATATAAATGTTCAGAACGCTGTTCTTGTGGGATTGTTTTTTATTTGCTGAAACTTAGAACCCTTCCTGTGTGGACTGTGACCCAAGATGTTGCTTTCTTTTTGTACCAAAGGATGCTTTCGTTTCAGGTAAAGCACTGCTCTGCTGCTCCTCCCACTCCAATAATCTGTCACTCTTCAGCAATTGTATGGCGTGTGCTCATTCTCGGCATGCTTAATAAGTAAACCAAATAGCTGCTGGGCTCAGTGATCTCAGTATTTTTTTGGTTAACAAAGTAACCTTGAAAAGGAGAGTAGAGTACACACGAGGTGGGCGGGGAGTTGTATTTTTCAGCTGGTGTTAATGTTCAGATGCACTCAACAGTCCAGTCTTGATGTCTGATACAAACAGAAGTCTTACTCTGCTATAAGAACTTGGGAGAGATCAAATCTTTGTCTTTGCAATATGGTTGTTAACGGGTGAAAATACAGAAATAGCACAGAGGCTGTGCTCAAGAAGTGTGCCGTTAACATGCATCGCTCAGGAGACGGGTGATAGAATAGGAGCTTGAAGATGTGTTATTCAGCTGTCCCTACAGATGAGTGTGCAGATAATGCTGCATCTTGGCTCTGTTTAGCTGCGCTCTTTACATACGGGTCTGGTTTTATGGCTCCTCCCAGGTTTTGCTGCTTTAGGGTGTATCTGCTGCCTCGGGAGTGCAGGCAGGGGCTGCTGTGCTGCTGGGTGCTGTCCTTGCACCCTGCCAGCCTGCCCACATGGGTGCTGTTTTTATGAGGACTGAGCTGTCCTCATCCCTTCGTTCCCTGCCGCATAAACAAACCCCTGAAGTTTCTAAAGCCACTCAAGTGTAAAGGCTGCATAAAGAGGCTGTGAACTGAATTCAGTTAATGCTTAAAGTCTCATTTTACCTCTCTTCTTTTCTTCCCAGAATCTAAAAATTTACGTTGACTTCGTTGAATGCGTCAAATTCTAACAAAATGGAAGCCAAAGCACAGCATGAAATATACCTTTGTCTGTATTAATATGCATGAAGATTAGAAGCTTGTGTGTCTCTGAAACATCAGCAGGTAAAGCAGCTCTCTGTGAGCCAGAGGAGAAATAACATCTGTTATGTAATTGGACCAAGTTACTTTACCTTAATTGGGAAGTCATAGCTATGCTTATTCCCTCTAGAGGTATTTAGAAATAGGTTGCTGTTCTGAAAGCTTCTATTTTAAAAAGCAGAGGGATTTCAGAAGTGTGTTGGGTTGGGAGAGAGGTGCTTGTCTTGGCCAGCAGATTTCTTCCCACTTGGATCACTGGAGCATCCCTGGCTGTAGCAACGGAAGGAGCAGTGGATAGGTGAAGCACTTTGGAATAGCAGAGAAATTGCAGGACGTTGGAGAAATGCTGATGTGTTGGCATGAAAGGAGGTGGAGTGGGTGAGTGTGGTGCCCAGTGGTGGAGTGCAGAGTGGAGGCACAGGAGCCACCTTCCTTTCTGACCAGCTTTGCTTGATGATTACGTGCATGTAATAGTTCAGATGAATGCCAACTCTCCCTTTTGTTAATGAGAGAAACATGCAATCCATCCCTGTAAATAAGGCTTTGAGGAAACCAAAGCTTGGTAAGTTTACAATTTGACTTTAGTAAACATATCTTGAGAACCTTACAGAATGAAAACTGGTACACAGAATCAGTGGGGAAACAAATCAGCTGTCCGATTTGGGATAGTTGAGGAATAGTCCAGGGCTGGGTGGGACAGAGTTTCCAGAGAGGTTCAGCAAAAGCTGATCCTTGTCACGGTTTTCCATTACTGCTTCTTGTTAGTACAGAATGTCCAGTTTGAAACTTACGTGTGATCAGATGGTGACTGATGGCGTGGCAGAGGGCGGTAAGGCGGCGGCGTGGCTGCGAGGCAGAGCAGAAACGTTCCAAGTGGGTGCCAAGGCTGCGGCGTGTAAAAGCACATGGCAACACCATGAGTGTGAATGGAGACAAATGGCATCCTGGAACGCAGTGGCAGAGCTGTGTTTTGGGAGTTCAGTGGATAAACAGCTTAAATGTGCATTCCCAAGGTGATGCTGTGGCAGAGGAGCTAATGGAGTTGTCAGATGCCTTAATGGAGGGAGCAGAGCTAGCGTTCTTACCTGTGAGGTGAAGTCATTACCAAGACACAGAGTATAGCTCTGCTGTCAGCACTTAAAGCAAAGCGAAGGAAAAAGGTACTGAACTGCAAAGGGAAATAAACTCCCAGGGAGCTAGGAAATAGTGCTGTGCAGTGACACGGTGCTTCAGCGTGCTGCTTCTGAGCAAAACCCAGAGGTGGCTTGGTTGGTCCTCTGATATCCCTGCTTTGTCTTGCCAGGGAGATCAGCGAGCTGCCTGAGTCTTGCTGACACGCACAAGCAAGAGTTTGTAGGCAGATAAATTCAGTGCACGAGATGTAAGTTGTTTTCACAGAGGAGGTGATGAACCTTTGGGTCACGTGACAGGGAGAACAGTGGTGGTTTCTCTGTTTCTTAATGTCTTTGCATTGGGATCGTGGAAAAAAAAATGCTGGAAATTATTTCGGTACAGAAAGGAAGAGTGAACAACAGGTAATAATTTCATGTTATGACAATGGGTCGTGTCTAGAGGTTTGAGTATTAGACTTTCTGAGCTCTCCTGCGTTATGGTTAGCACATGACAGCAGGCTGAGCATCTCCACGTGGAGATGGCTGTCATCTCAAAGTGCTTTCCCTATCTTACATTAAGAAGATGGGAATGGGCAAAAGTTAGCTTGAATCAGCAGCAGAGCAAACTTGAAAATAACCCATGTGGTCTTCTGGCTGGTAGTTTCAGTGCTTCTGAAGCTTGAATTTGGCAGTCCGAGTTTCCTGGCTGTTTGTAGGAGGCCAAGTAGGGTAATTCAAGAAAACAAATGATTTTCAGTTTTGTGGTTTGTTGGTGTGGGGTTTTTTTTGTTTTGTTTTGTTTTCAGGATCCAGTGTGTGTGCAGTGATAGCTGTTCTGCAGCGTGGCTTCTAGCTCCTGGCCAGCTTTTTAGGTGGACACAGGGAGTCCTGTGGTGAGCCTGCAGTTGGTAGGAGAAAGAAACAGAGAAAATACACCCCAGCTGATGGAGATTTTGCAGGGTGCTATGGAGAAAGTGGGTCTGAAAGGCATCTGCAGGTCCAGAGGCTGAGATCCCTGATCCAGACAGGGCCGAGGGTACAGCTGCAGGCAGCTCTGGTGCTCTCCCTTTCTGCTGTTTCCTGCTTGAGCTTTGGGAGAACAGACTAGTGGATTAGATGGGCATTGATCCTGCTCTGTAGAGCATTGCTCCTGTTGGAGAAAGCTGTCATCAGCAGGTTGAAAAATTCCCTGCAAGTGAGCTTACAGCTCTTGCTGTGTTGGGAATAACACCAAAGAATTTGGGGAAGTAGGAACACTGGTTTTCCTGGCAAATTCTTTTCCACCAGGACCTTCTGCTTGTGTGCATTGCCTGGCAGTCAGTTGGTTTGCACGCAGCTACGTACACACATCCCACAAGCAGGTGGGGAGCAGCTAGGTGGAAGTGGAACAGCTTTTGTGGAACTCAATAAGTGCCTCAATAAATCGTGGGGGAGAAAACCCAGAGGCTTTCTGAAAAGGTCATTTAGATGACAAGTACTGATCAGAGCATTTGGATATTGGTAAGCATTTTTTACTCTGCTGAAGCAGACCAGTAAATGTTACTGTATGTTTAATATCACTGAAAGGAATCAAATTCTCCTGTTGTTTATAAAGAAATAAACATCACTGCTCTGGACTGGATCCTAAGGGAGCTTTCCACTGCCATGGAACCAACAGCAACTTTTGGCAGGTTTCTTCATCTTCTCGTATAGCTTCTCCATCTAGTAGTGTTTGGTTTCTAAAGCTGTCACCTTCTAACCAATTCCAAACAGGGATTTTAAAACGGAAAAGAAAAAAGGAAATGGTACTGAATTAAAATTGCCCCTAAATTGGGGTGTACCTACTTGTCTTGGTAGTTTAAAATGGTGGCTTTCTTTTATGTGCTAGGCTGTTTGCATGGGGATGCCTGCTGAGTATGTAACTCAGTATGTGCAATTTCTCATCTTTAAGGGGAGATTTATTGACTCTTGTGCTTGTGTTGAATGCACAGAAGGTGCACACTGGTTACTTGACCCTTGCCTGGCTTCTATGTTAATGTACTCCTTCCTGCTCAGCAGTGGCTGCTGTTGATTCCTACCTGCTCTGCTGGCCCTTGTGGCTGCTGGAGTGCTATGTGAGCCCACAGGAGTTGATGCTTGGCTCCTGTTGTATGCATGGAAGTAGTTTTGTCCTCCTGAAGCAGCTGTAAGCAAGGAGGTGGCGCTGGGTGTTTGTCCTGCCCTGTTCACAGACCAGCTCCCACTGGTTCCTCTGTCCCAGCTGGTCAGCATGGTGTGGTGGCGCCCATTAAAGCTTCGTGTCCCAGAGCTGCCTCTTCAGATGGGCTCTCACAGCCTCCCCCACCACTGGAGACACAAACTCGTTATGGTTCTGCAGAGGAGTGCATGTAGTAGCCCTCGTTTCTTCCAAGTTTCTTCTTTTTTCTTTATCAGTTTGGATTTACTCATCTCAGCCTTGGGTTTTCTCTGGCAAATTGGCAATTTCCGCCTTTTCTATCTGAGCTTTTCTCTGATGTTGGTGTTTGCGCAGCCCTTCTTTGACTTGGTATCACTCACTCATGATTCTTTTCATCTCCTGAATGTTGATACAGTGAATCTGTGCTCTGGCAGTGCTGTTTTCTTCAATTAAAACGGAGAGGTTTCAAATATTCTTCCCTCAGAAAGTGCAGGTCGCTAGCAAATTGCTCAGAGTGGCAGTGCTTCTCCACGTTAAAAGTACACTGAAAACTGGTTGATGTTTGAGATCTTGCACACGTATTCCTGGTCCCCTAGAAGGTGCATGGAAAGCAGTGCTGAGACCAACAAATCCGTCTTCAGAGCAGTGCAGCTGTAACTGCATGCATGAAAAGGAGCTCATTAGATTTGAAGTTTGTTCATCCTTAATCTTACATATTCTCCTGCTGGAAAATGACAAAACAGTTTATGTTGGAAGGGATCTCTGGAGGTACAAGCCCTGGCTCAGACAGGGCTGACTATCACATTAAATGAGGATGTTTAAGGTTGTATCTAACAAATATTTTCAGTATCCAGAAGATAAGTCTTCTGTATCTCTGAGCAGCCTGTTCCAGCGTTTGGCCTCCAAGCGTGTGGTTTTGTCTCCCTGCCCTCTGTTAAGGCAGCAGTACAACCTCTCCTTTGCCTTCCCACAGCTGCATTGGCTTGCACACAGCGTCCTGCCCCCAGACTGTCCCAGTGCTCCTGTGCAGGGCTAAGGGAGCTCAAAAATGGGCCTGTGGAGCAGCAACGTTTCCAGCTTGTCCTGTTTTCCTTCAAGCTTATCGTGCCTTACCTACGTGCCAGAAATCTGATTGGAAGGTAAATGCATGCAAGGCCAGAAAACATGCTGGTTCCTTTTCCAGTAAACAAGTGCAGGAGTGGCTTTTCTGCCCTCTGACATCACTATGGAGGGGATCTGAACAAGGATGCCTTCCTTTTTATAGCCTGTGCACTTGTGTTGCTGGAACACCTTGCTCCTTGGGCTGTGTGTTAGTAAGATGGTGTTTCTTGAGTGGTGTCTGAGCTGCCTGTCATAAAACCCCTTTGAAAACTCCTGTAACCTCGTTCCTGTCTGTGCCTTTTGGAAGGAGAAGGGCAGTGATCGTCCTTTCATTTACCAACCATTCTTATTTCTCAATTCAAATCTCACAGAAAGCAAAGCTGAAATAAAAGAGGTAAATAAAAGAGATGCTTCGGTTCGGTGGGCTCTGCTGCCCACTGTGTTGTGCCCAGTCCCAGGATGGGTAAGGTGATGCAGTTCCATGCAGGAGATGGTTGCTGTGCACCACCTGTCTTCCAGTGCTTCACTCTTCAGTTTATTTTGCACTAACTTACACGTTGTTAAGCTTCAGGAGATACCCATCTTTCCCCGTGGCCCCTCTGAGCATCCCTTTTTCTGGTCAATGTCTCCAGCTTAGGAGATTTTTATTGAGTGTT